TTTTTTCAAATCTGCTTGTTTTTTGCAGGGGGTTGTTGTTATTGTTTGAGACAGGGTCTCACTCTGTCACCCCAGCTGGAGTGCAGTGGCACGATCATGGCTTACTGCAGCCTCAACCTCCCACGCTCAGGTGATCTTGCCACCTGGTATGGACCAGCTAATTTTTGTAGATGTAGGCTTTTGCCATGTTGCCCAGGGTGGTCTCAAACTCCTGGGCTTAAGCGATCTTCCCAGCCTCGCAAAGCACTGGGATTACAGGCAGGAGGAGCCACTGTGACCAGCCCTGATTCTCCTCCTTTATAATTTATGATGCCCCATGTATATTTTTGAAACAGTCTCTTATTTCTTTAGATATATGATACATAGTTATTTTGTATTTATTTTGTAATCCCATTATCTAAAGTCCTTAGAGATCTGTTTCTGTCCTCCATCACTTTTGGTACATTTTGCCCATGTTGTGTAGTTTCCTTTGTGTTCAGCAATTTTCTGTTGTAAGCTGCTCATCTTCCTTGGAATTTTGTCTGTGGGAATTCTTTGAAGTGTGTAATGAAGGCAGGTTCATCCAGAGAGAATTGGCATTTGCTTCCATTGAGATCAGACAAAAATAAATTCTTAGCTCTAGATTTTGTGAATTTACGGCCGATTTTCCTCCCTTTGATCACAGCAGTGATTTGAAGCTGTGGAATTCTTCATAGTCCTTAGGACAGACTTTCTCAGTGCAGTAATACAAGCATTTGTCATTTTGTTATTTACCTTTACTTTTCCTATACCAAGAAGGCAGTCTTTTGTGTGTGTGGTGGTGGTGGTGTTGTTTTGAGACAAATTTATTGCTCTGTCACCAAGGCTGGAGGTACGGTGACGTGATCACAGCTCACTGCAGCCTCAGCCTCGTGGGCTCAAGCAATCCTCCGACTTCAGCTTCCTGAGTAGCTGGGACCACAGGTGCCACACCAGCACACCTGGCTAATTTTTAAATTTTTTGTAGAGATGAGGTTTTGCCATGTTGGCCAGGCTGTTCTCAAACTCCTGCGCTCAAGCAATCCCCCGTCCTCAGCCTCCCAAAGTGCTGGGATTACAGGCATGAGCCACCAAACCTGGCTTGACAGGTCCCCATCCTATGTGTAATAGTGCAGATGCTATCAGTCTATTGAATCCATCTGGAGGAGATGTTCCCTCCACTCCTTAGATACACGGAAGAAAACAGCCCACTGTGATTTTGCCAAGGGTGGGAGACTCAACATTTGTTGTTGTTGTTGTTGTTGAGATGGAGTCTCACTCTGTCACCCAGGCTGGAGTGCAGTGTCACAATCTCGGCTCACTGCAACCTCTGCCTCCCAGGTTCAAGTGATTCTCCTGCCTCAGCCTCTGAAGTAGCTGGGACTACAGGCGTGTGCCACCACACCCAGCCAATTTTTGTATTTTTTGTAGAAACGGAGTTTCACAGTGTTGGCCAGGCTGGTCTCAAACTCCTGACCTCAAGTGATCCATCCACCTCAGCCTCCCAAAGTGCTGGGATAACAGGTGTGAGCCACCACACCTGACCAAACTCAACATTCCTCAGTAGGCAGCTTTGTCCGGAATTTATCAAAAGAAGTCCTTATGTTTGTACACAAGATTGTGCTGTAAGGAACGTTCATTGAAATAGTTTATGATAGCAGAACCTTCAACTGTTTTGAATTGGCTTCAGCTCATTTGAATTTATTGAGTCAGTTCAATAAATTACAATAATACTGGTCAGTCACTAAAAATAATGAAAGAAAGTTTAAGAACTTGAATAAAATAGCAGCATATAGACAAGAAAAACAGATTGATTGTATTTTACATTTAAGAATAAAGGTAGGGTCGGGTGCAGTGACTCATACCTATAATCCCAGCACTTTGGGAGGCCGAGGCAGGTGGATCACGAGATCAGGAGTTTGAGACCACCTGATCAACATGATGAAAGCATGTATTTACTAAAAATACAAAAATTAACCCAGTGTGGTGGCACAGGCCTCTAATCCCACCTACTTAGGAGGCTGAGGGAGGAGAACCGCTTGAACCCGGCAGGTGGAGGTTGCAGTGAGCCGAGATAGCAGCGTTGCACTCCAGCCTGGGCAACAGAGCAAGACTCTGTGTCAAAAAATTAGTTAATTAATCAATTAATTAATGAAAGGTAGATGGCCAGGCGAGGTGGCTCATGCCTGTAATCCCAGCACTTTTGGAGGCTGAGGTGGGAGGATGGGTGGATCACCTGAGGTCAGGAGTTGAAGACTAGTTTGGCCAACCCCATCTCTACTAAAAAATACAAAAATGAGCTGGACGTGGTGACGCACACCTGTAGTGTAATCCATGCCCTTTGGGAGGCCAAGGTGGGCAGATCACTCGAGGCCAGGAGTTTGAGACCAGCCTGGGCAACATGATGAAACCACATCTCTACTAAAAATACAAAAATTGAGCAGGCATGGTGGCACATGCCTGTAATCTCAGCTACTCAGGAGGCTGAGGCAGGAGAATCACTGGAACCCAGGAGGCAGAGGCTGCAGTGAGCCAAGATTGTGCCACTGCACTCTAGCCTGGGCAACAGAGCTAGAGCCCATCTCTAAATAAATAAAATAAAGGGGAGAAGAAAAAGAAGACAGATTATTTACCAAAGAATTTGTGGCAGCCGGGCACGGTGGCTCACGCCTGTAATCCCAGCACTTTGGGAGGCAGAGGTAGGTGGATCACGAGGTCAGGAGTTCGAGACCAGCCTGACCAACATGGTGAAACCCCGTCTCTACTAAAAATACAAAAATTAGCTGGGCATGGTGGCACACGCCTGTAATCCCAGCTACTCAGGAGGCTGAGGCAGGAGAATTGCCTGAACCTGGGAGGCGGAGGTTGCAGTGAGCTGAGATCACGCCACTGCACTGCAGCCTGGGCAACAGAGCGAGACTCCATCTCAAAAAAAAAAAACATTTGTGGCTGTAGATCTCTCAATTCTCGTGTTCTTACTGTTGACTCTTCTTCCTCTCCTCTTCCTGAAAGGGCCACCTGAGTGAGGGGTATGGCCAGCTGTGCAGCATCTACCTGAAACTGCTGAGAACGAAGATGGAGTACCACACCAAAGTAAGTCTCTGCGGACAATTCTACCGTCCCCGTCGCCTCGCCTGCTCCATAGCCCTCAGCACCTCCCCAGGCTCAGTTCTCAGATCTTTCGGGTAATAGACTGCCGGGTTTCTGGGGCAGTGTGCGAATCGTGTCCCCCAGCTGTGCGAGAGGAAAGCTGTCGCCAGGCCCCTGGGGCGCGATGAGGGCTGGGATTTTGGCCTGTGTCTTCTGCACTCTCTGTTCCCCATTTTGCAACTAGAAAGAGCAACCGGCTGGGCGCAGTGGCTCACACCTGTAATCCTAGCACTTTGGGAGGCCACAGGTGGGCGAATCACCTGAGGTCAGGTGTTCGAGACCAGCCTGGCCAACATGGCAAAACCCTGTCTCTACAAAAAATACAAAAATCAGCTAGGCATGGTGGTGCATGCCTGTAATCCCAGCTACTCCGGAGGCTGAGGCGTGAGAATGGCTGGAACCCAGGAGGCAGAGGTTGCAGTGAGCCGAGATGGCTCCACTGCACTCCAGCCTGAGCTACAGAGCAAGACTCTGTCTCAAAAAAAGAAAAGTATTAAAGGAGAAGTGGAAGGAGGAAGAGCCTACAGTAGGATTTTAGGCGGAAAAGGAGAGAAGGGAGGGAGTGGAGAAAGCCAGGCTGGGAAGAAGGTTAGGGAGGAAGGGGAGCGGGGAGCCGGGGCGGCAGCGCTGCAGGGGTGATAGAGATCGGAGGGCCCCTTTCCTTGTTTATAGGCAGAGGGCAGAGTTCAGTGGCATCAGAAGCAGCCAGTGCCAATGGCCAGGCCCTTAGCTTTTAATCACGTGGAAGGGCAGAAGGGAATGGTCACGTGGGCTTCAAGAATTAGGGTGGAAGGAGGATGCAGCTGGCTTTGCTTCCAAAGGCTCTGGAGCTCACGGCTCTCTTGTTTTTCCTGGTTTTAGAAAACAGGGAAAATGGGGAAGCTGGTGTTGTCTAAGTGTGGAGGAGCAAAGGACTTTTCGAGTTTTTAGCAATTAGCCATACAAGAGCGGGGAAGCAGCCTGGGTGCAGTGGCTCACACCTGCAATCCCAGCACTTGGGGAGGCCGAGGCTTGAGGTGAGACCAACTGGGGCAACATAGCGAGACCCCTTCTCTTAAAAAACAATTTTTTTTCAATTAGGCTGGGGGTGGTGGCTCACGCCTATAATCTCAGCACTTTGGGAGGCTTAGGCTGGTGGATTACCTGAAGTCAGGAGTTCAAGACCAACCTGGGCAACATGGTGAAACCTGTCTCTACTAAAAATACTAAAAAATTAGCCGGGCGTGGTGGTGGGCGCCTGTTAATGCCAGTTACTCAGGAGACTGAGAGGCAGTAGAATCGCTTAAACCCAGGAGGCTGAGGTTGCAGTGAGCTGAAATCATGCCATTGCACTCCAGCCTGGGCGACAGAGTGAGACTCCATCTTGAAAACAACAACAAGAAAAACTCCCGCACACATTAAAGAAAAATTTATTCTCTGGCCAGGAGTGGTGGCTCATGCCTATAATCCCAGCACTTTGGGAGGCCGAGGCAAGCGGATCATCTGAGGTCAGGAGTTCAAAACCAGCCTGGCCAAAGTGGCAAAATGCCATCTCTACTAAAAAAAAAAAAAAAAAAAAAATTAGCCCGGCATGGTGGTGTACACCTGTAGTCCCAGCTACTTAGGAGGCTAAGGTGGAGGATCTCTTGAGCCTGGGAATTGGAGGCTGCAGTGAGCGATGATCACGCCATTGTACTCCAGTGTGGGCAACAGTGAGGCCCTGTCTCTAAAAAATAGAACAAGAGAGAAGCAGGAGAGAGTTGCTTCCCCCTCCTCTGCCATGTAAGCGATGTAACCAGGATGAAGCCCCTCCTCCAGGGATGAAATCTGTCAGCACCTTGACCTTGGGCTCCGCAGCCACCAGAACTATGAGACACTGTCTGTAGTTTAAGCCACCCAGTGTGTGGTACCTTGTTATAGCTGCCCGAGCTGACAGACGGATGTTCAGGCCAGAGAGCGTAAATGCACAGTGACACCAGCTGTGAGTCCTTTTCCAGGGACCGTTGGCAGCTGGCCCTAGGTGCAGAGCCAATGACAAGGACCCAGGCTCAGCAGGTCCTCGAAGCACTGTGGTGGAAAGGCAGGCGGGGGGGGGTGGGGAGTGGAGCCAGGCCACCAGTCACGATGTCCAGACTGAGCCAAGAAGCAAATGCAGGCAGAGAGATGGGGAGGAGAGGGAGCAGGAGGGGACTGGCCATGTCTGAGACAGAGGGTGGATTTGAGGGCGGAAGAGGACTGTAAGGGCAGAGGCCTGGGTGATGCAGCCAGAGAGGGAGACGCTGGAGTGGAGAGTTCTAGTCAGGGATGTTTTAGATGATGGCAGAGTCCAAAGAGAGTGCACGTAGCTTGGGGTGGAGTCGAGGTGAAAGTACTGAAATTGAGGAGGTCAGAGGTTGTAATCTCAGGGTGCATGACTTGGGGCAAAGGAAAACTGTGTCCCGGGTGCCAGAGACTTGGGTGAATGCCAGGTAGGGACCAGGAGATGCCTATCTTCCTTGACGAGGAGATATAAAGGGGGAATGATCAAATCAAATAAACCTACAGGTAAGAGCCATGGTGATGTGGAGTGGAGAAACATCGGCAGCTGGGCACAATGGTGACTGATGCCTGTAATCCTAGCACTTTGGGCAGCAGAGGTGGGAGGATCACTTGAGGCCAGGAGTTCAAGACCGGTCTGAGCAACACAGCAACACCCCATCTCATTTTATTTAATTTGTTTAGATTTATTTATTTACAATCCCAGCACTTTGGGAGGCTGAGGCCAGTGGATCACTTGAGCTTAGGAGTTTGAGACCAGCCTGGCCAACATGGTGAAACCCCATCTCTACTAAAAATACACAGATTAACCAGGCCTGATGGCACCATGGTGGTGCATGCCTGTAATCCCAGTTACTTGGAAGGCTGAGGCAGGAGAATTGCTTGAACCCAGAGGCAGAGGTTGCAGTGAGCCGAGATTGCACCTGGGCAACAGAGCAAGACTCTGTCTCAAAAACTTTAAAAAATTAAAGATTTATTTATTTATTTTGAGACAGAGTCTCGCTCTGTTGCCCAAGCTAGAGTGCAGTGGCGCGATCTTGGCTTACTGCAACCTCTGCCCCCTGGGTTCAAGAGATTCTTGTGTCTCAGCCTCCTGAGAAGCTGGAATTATAGGCGTGCACCATCCGGCTTCACTAATTTTTGTATTTTTAGTAGAGATGGGGTTTCACCATGTTGGCCAGGCTGGTCTCCAACTCCTGACCTCAAGTGATCTGCCCAGCTTGGCCTCCAAAGGGCTGGGATTACAGGCGGGAGCCACCGCGCCTGGCCTAGAACCTAAGGTATTCACTTGCACAAGTAGAAGCCCCACGATGGAATGGCCACCCATCTCTGTGGCCTTTTCCCTTTGCCACAGGGACAAACACACAAATGACAGGATCATGCTATAGATACTGAGCAATGATTGATGACACCAGCTAGTTTTTCTTTTTTTCTTGTTTTGAGATAGAGTCTCACTCTGTAGCCAGGCTGGAATACAGCGGCCTTGACCTGTAGCCTTAAACTCCTGGGCTCAAGCCATCCTCCCACCCAGGCCTCCCAAGTAGCTGGGACCGCAGGTGTGTGCCACCATGGCTGGCTGAAAGAGAGTTCTTCACGTGCCCCATCCTGACTCCCTCTGCCTCCTTTCCAGAATCCCAGGTTCCCAGGCAACCTGCAGATGAGTGACCGCCAGCTGGATGAGGCTGGAGAAAGTGACGTGAACAACTTGTAAGTGGCACCTGCCCTGAGCCCAGGGAGGGAGAAAGCTTTTGCGGATGCTGTCACTTCTCATATGGGTCATCAAGGGCCTTGGCTGGGGTGGGCACCAAAGCCACCAGGTGACTGGGCCTTAGGGCCACTTATTTATTGCTGGTGCCTCATCCAGAACCCCTGCCTGGCTGTTTCACACCCCAAAGCTTTCCTGTCTGCCTCACTTTCAGCCCTCCAACTCCAACACTGGTACCTATCCTCTCCCTCTGTCACTGTCACTTTTTTTTTCTTTTTGAGAGGGAGTCTCACTCTGTTACCTAGGCTGGCATGCAGTGGCACAATCTCGGCTGACTGCAGCCTTCACCTCCCGGGTTCAAGGGATTCTCCTGCCTCAGCCTCCCGAGTAGCTGGGACTACAGGTGCCTGCCACCACGCCCAGGTAATTTTTATATTTTTAGTAGAGATGGGGTTTCACCATGTTGGCCAGGCTGATCTCGAGCTCCTGACCTCAGGTGATCCGCCCACCTCAGCCTCCCAAAGTTCTGGGATTACAGTTGTGAGCCACCGCACCTGACTTGTCAATGTTACTGTTGACACTTCACCAGCCTGCATTTGCAAATGGCCATAGTACCCATGGGGCTTAGACTTGGAGCTGGAGTTGTGTGTGTTCGCGCACGCACGTGAGCGTTGGGGACCGGAGGCAGCAGTGTAGAGCGTCCGGGAGGGGACGGTAACAGACCAGCCTCAGGCTGTGGAGTGTAAGCTCTCTTTCCTCTTGTGTCCAGTTTCCAGTTAACAGTGGAGATGTTTGACTACCTGGAGTGTGAACTCAACCTCTTCCAAACGGGTGAGTCCCTTCCCTCCCGTCTAACCCAGATTCTCATGGCAACCGCCCAACTCCCAGTCCTCCTCTCCCTGCAAGGTGTGAGGCACAAGGGGTAGGAAAATGGAGACATTGATACCCCATCTCTGGGCTTTCCATTCCTCTACAGGGAGGGACTGAAGCTCTTTGGTATTTTTTTAAAATTATATTTTAAGTTCCGGGATACACGTGTAGAATGTGCAGGTTTATTACATAGGTATACATGTGCCGTGGTGGTTTGCTGCACCCATCAACCCATCATCTACATTAGGTATTTCTCCTAATGCAATCCCTCCCTTAGCCCCCCACCCCCCAACAGGCCCCAGTGTGTGATGTTCCCCTCCCTGTGTCCATGTGTTCTCATTGTTCAGTAACTACTTATGAGTGAGAGCATGCAGTGTTTGGTTTTCTGTTCCTGTGATCGTTTGCTGAGAATGATGGTTTTCAGTTTCATATATGTCCTTGCAAAGGACATTAACTCATCATTTTTTATGGCTGCATAGTATTCCATGGTGTATATGTGCCACATTTTCTTTATCCAGTCTATCACTGATGGGCATTTGGGTTGGTTCCAGGTCTTTGCTATTGTGAACAGTGCTGAAATAAACATACATGTCCATGTGTCTTTATAATAGAAAGGTCTCTGCTGGGCACAGTGGCTCACGCCTGTCATCCCAGCACTTTGGGAGGCTGAAAAGGGTGGATCGCTTGAGGTCAGAAGTTCAAGACCAGCCTGGCCAACATGGTGAAACCTCATCTCTACTAAAAATTCAAAAATTAGCTGGGCATGGTGGGACATGCCTGTAATCCCAATTACTTGGGAGGCTGAGGCAGGAGAATTGCTTGAACCCAGGAAGTGGAGGTTG